TTTGCTCAGAGAAGGGAGGAAGTCGTCGATGATCCCATGTTTGAGTATCGTCTGGTAATCACCGTGAACAGGTTGATTGAGCAGGAACTTCTGAGAAGTTCCACGGTTGATAACTACGTGCAATGGTTTGTTTTAGTTCCTTCTGTTCTCTGTTGCTATTCAGATAAGCTTTCTTTTCAGTGCGCAGAACAGAGACCACGGCTGGGAACTTCTCAATGCTGCTACTGTGAAACAGCCCAAAGACTGGGACGCTGATGGTAAGCGAGCTTTGCTAGGCGCGGAAATGCTCTAAAGATTTAGAGTTTGCACTCACTATTCTTCTTTTTTCTTTTCATATCTATTATTATCACAAATTATGTATAGGGCTCTGCCTAATCGCGAATAGCCGGTGGGTTTGCGACCATTGCACGCGCATCGGGGTTTCTCACTCATTCTCCTTCCAAGCGCTTTTCTGCTATCAGATGTTTGCTCCCAGTTACCTGAAACGATTCTGAAAAGGGATTGTTCAACTAGTTTGAAACCTTGTGGCACCCTCCCTTGATAACAGCCCTGTATATTCAGTAATCTTTATTACTTATTCTTTATCCATGCAGGAACCATTCTACAAGTTGGTTATTATTAACCATTGATCATGTTATGTTGATTATGCTAGTTTTAGTTGCTCTCAAAGGAATAGAGAAACTTGCTACGGAGCTTGCCACCGAGTACGATACCAAAGATGTTGCTGAAGATCTTTGTGGGCGCAACGTTCCTTTCTTTCATGCTAATTTTGTTTCTCAGGTCAGTCGAATTGTCTGTAGTTTATCTAGAAAAAATAATAATTCTTTCAAGTTCTGTTTGGATGCCATTTTTTCGATGAACATGGATGTCATCTATTTTGTATCTACTTCTCTCAAGGATTTTCTTAACCATGGCGTAAGCTACCTTCCATTATAGTTTGCTTACTATGACCATTTAATTCAGGCGTTGAGCTCATGGTCTGTTAATATTGGTTTCGAACGTTTTTTCAAGAATATTCATTCTGCCGAGGTAATTTTTTTTT